GTACGGAGAGATTGAGACAGAAGGAGGTACTGGATAGAGAGACCGGGATGGTTTTGAGTGTGAAGACAACAACAACAACATTGAGTTGATCGAGAAGAGCGCTGCCGCGTGTGTGATTTCTGAGCAAGACTTTTTTCATGATGGCGCAGACCAAATCAGTGAGTTTAGAGACGGAGACTATAGGGGTCGTGCAGATCACGCGTAGTATCTTTGATCCTGACGCATCACAAATTTCACCCTCGCCTCCTAGCTAGGATGAACTGTGCGGAGAGGATCCCGAAGGAGTTTCACTGATTTTTGACCCTTCGTTGGGTAACCACACCTCATTCATGCATAGTCTACTTCTCGACCCAGAAACACAACGCCACAACCCAAAACGCAAAAAAAAGTGCGAGCATGACAGCAGGCCTTACGTCAACCACGACCCGAACGACAGCCACCACCGACCCATGGCGTGACACGTGACACACACATCAAACACATCAGCACGAAGTTACCGCCCTCTTTCAACGTCACAGAAGACGCTCAGTCTACACACACCATGACAGCAATCATGGTTGTATGCCATGACCTCACGATATAGACAGCAACGGACCGATACGTGAAACACAGTAAAAAAACACCGCATTAAGAAGCAGCCAACCAACCCCACCCGTGGGATACATGCATGCTATATGCAGAGCACACGCATACGCACCGCTGGCGATTGATTGGGACGAGAGAACATGATCGATGCGGCGATGCCCGAAAAATAAGTCTTCGAACGAAAAGCAGGAATGTGATTATGTGTCCAAAACGTTACGATTGGCGCAGCCCAAAAGGGGGAGTTCAGGGTTTGGTGACCGCTCCGGACCATATAAAGTCGGTCACGATCATTTGGAACAGCATACCTTCTCGGCCTTTTGGCTAAGATCATGTGTAGTATCTGTTCTAATCAGTGTGAAAACTGATTGACGCTCAATGAGTGTCATTTTCACACCTGTTTTTGAAATCGCCGGGTCCGCGCTGCTTGCAGTGTGCCGGCAGGATTTCCTCGGCATTCCACTACCGCCTTGTGAGGTCCGTCCCTTCGGGGACACAACAACAGCAACAAACCCAAACCCAGACCCAACGCACCCGACCACCCACACGCACCGATCGTGGGCAACCAAGCCCGGAAAAACACATGTAATGTATATCCCCCTCATGTCCGCCACATTTGAGAAACACAACAGCATCCATGACACACGCTTGCACCGCGACACAGCCACCGCCGCCATCTCTGCAACCAAACCGAAAATGCCCCTGGGTTCGTACGGACCGTCTTGGCGCAGACGAAATTGGTGAGTTTCGCGAACCATGTGTTGTTGATTGAGCTGAGGTCCGTCTCGTCCGGGACACAGCAGCACAACAACCAAAAACCAAATCAACACACCCAACCACTTCACGCACACGCACCGATCGCGGACGGACACAGGAACAACACCTGCGTCCCCTCGTCATTTTTGAACGTAAGAAACACATCAAACGCTGCAAGCAGCTGCTGTACGTACTCTCTAACTGCTGTTGTTGTTGTTTGTTGTTGTTTCTCACATTAGCTCTATAGTCCACAAAAAATGGGGAGCCCGTGGTCTCAAAACCCGGCACATACGACGCCGCGAGAAAACAAAAAACAAAAATAGGATACAAACCACTCGGAAAAAGAAAACAAAATGATCGAAAGAAAGAAAAGAACAGGTATCGCACCTACTGTTCGAGAAAAGAGCCCTCGGACACCGATCAAAATAAAACAAAACAAAAATAAAAAAAAAAAAAAAAAATAAAGGAGGACGCTTCCCACACCCGCCGAAAGAAAAAATGAAAGGGTAACGTAACGTACCAGCACCAGGCACTGCGCACCAGGGCATGGGAGTAACGGAGCAAACAGGGCAAAGAGGCGGCAGATGGGCAGACAGCCAGCCGTACAAAAAAACAAAGGCAACAGCAAAGCGAGATCAAGGTACCCAACACAGCAGAGCAGGCAGGGAGGTCATGAAAAAAAAAAAGAAACACAGCACAGAGGCCGAAGGCAATACAAGGACATACATAAAGGAGTATAGCATACGGCAGGGAGGGAAACCGGGCGCAACAACATCAGCCGGGTGCATAGTTCGCCACAAGCGTTGCCTCGGCCGCCCTACTCGCTTCTACAGCAGTGCCCGTTCGCCGTTTCTTCCCCCCCACCGCCGCTTCGCCGGTTCTCTTTCTCTTCGGTCCTGAGATGGTCGTACTCTCTGCTTCTGCTTCCCGCGCGCGCTGGCGCTTCGCGGACGCTTCCGCCTCCTGCCTGTGCCATTTCCTCATGAACCATGCCGCCCCGTCCTCGACCTTGTTGTACCACACCTCCGAGTTCTTGGCGCTCTCTTTCCATTTCCCCCCTTCCTTTTCGTCTCCCATGTTGAAGGCCACGAGGTCCTCTCCTAGACGAGACACCCAGTCGCTCTCCTGCCCGCCCCGGTATCCCACGCCCCCCGCCATTGCTCCTAACAGCATGCGCTTGGGGAGGCGGTTGTCCTCCATGCACATAACGAAGCCCGCGAAACACAGCCTCCGTTTGCGCACGGTGGCCTCGATGGTTTCCTCGCAGCCTGCCTGGATGAGGGCCTGGGCATAGGACAGGGGGCGGTCGGAGCGTTTCCGCTTGCTCCAGCCGATGTGTGTTGTCTGCGTGCGCGAGAGCAACGCACACACAATTTCACGAAAAAAAATAATTCCCCAAGATGATGAGGGGTGTTTGGTCATGTTGGCGCAGACCAAATTGGTGAGGTTTGAACCCTATGCTATCTAAGCGATGCTTGAGTATGACCAGTGGTCAGGATGACTGGTGACCCCAGGGGAAGCAAGCTCTTGCACTGGGCTAGACCCTGGCGTGCTGTAATCCCTGGAGAATATTAGTTCGGGGGTATCTCTACCGCATAATTTTTTTCGGGGAGGTTGTTGTTTGTTGTTGTTTCTCACATTAGCTCTAAAAAAGGAAGATTGGGAGCCCGTGGTCTCAAAACCCGGCATACACGACCCCACGAAGAAACAGAAAAAAATAGGGTACAAAACCACTCGGAAGAGAAACAAAATGATAGAAAGAAAGACCAGCTACCGCACCAAACGAGAAAGAGCGTCGAGGAGACCGATCAAAATAAAATAAAAGGAGAACGGGGAACGCTTCCCACACCCGCCTACAACGCCGGAGGGTTCCGTGCCGGGTTCCCGCCGACCAGGCATCCCCCGCCCTGCACCACACCCCCAGGGGGTGCAGCAAGACGGGGGGTGTTCGCTTGCGACCCTCCCATCAAACAGAACAACCACATACCACGAAACAAAAAAGCAACAACTTGAACACAGACAACAATCGTTCTCACCGACATACGGTTGTATACGTGCTTTACATACACACACGCCAGTTCAAACACATTGCTGACCCCAGGACTCTCTCAGCTTGATGATGGACAAAAGGAAATACATCTTAAGCAAAGGTGTTATTGGTGGGCTGTCGCGGCCTTTTCGTCTTGTGCCTCTTTCGTGCGTGTGATGTGGTGGCTGGACGTTGGACTTTCCCCACAAGGGGGATCAGAAATTGGTGGTGACCGTTAGGTCTACCACACGGGATTGGAGTAGTTTTCAACTAGCAATAATCACGGATCAGCAGAGCTTCACTTCCAATGATATAGCCCTAGGAGCGGAGATGTTAGTCCTTATGGATGTGAACGCTGATTATATACCATAGCGATCATTAACGGGTTATTTGATCTGCGCCAATCGTTTCCTAGGAATGATTTTTTTATCTCCCCACATTTTGATTGGTACACATCAGGCGTTCGTCCGCCCACGTTCATTGTCACGTGCACGCGACGAGCAAGTCTCAAGTCTCTAGCAACTAGCACTATNACGTTGGACTTTCCCCACAAGGGGGATCAGAAATTGGTGGTGACCGTTAGGTCTACCACACGGGATTGGAGTAGTTTTCAACTAGCAATAATCACGGATCAGCAGAGCTTCACTTCCAATGATATAGCCCTAGGAGCGGAGATGTTAGTCCTTATGGATGTGAACGCTGATTATATACCATAGCGATCATTAACGGGTTATTTGATCTGCGCCAATCGTTTCCTAGGAATGATTTTTTTATCTCCCCACATTTTGATTGGTACACATCAGGCGTTCGTCCGCCCACGTTCATTGTCACGTGCACGCGACGAGCAAGTCTCAAGTCTCTAGCAACTAGCACTATATTGTTCACGATTGCTGACAACTCACGGGCCTGCGCTTGATATCTTGTCTCTCTGCTTGTGTCTCTTGAGCTGGGGTGCTGGTGTCTTAAGACCGGGCCGGCCATCTGGCCGCCTTGTTTTGACAGATACACGAACAGTTCGATCTAGTCTAGACTATGTATGTTGTTGTTGACTTCACATTAAACCGTATGCCAGTTGCTAAATGCCAAAATCTAGCAAAGACTCTCGGCCCGTGGTCACGAAAGTGCTGGAGCCATCTGAGGATCTAAAGAACACGCACACGTAGCAAGAAAAAGGTGTACAAGAGCCCGAAGAGGTACTACTACACCTATATATAATCCCTGCAGCACCGTACGCGTGCCCAAAACTGAACTACACGTCCGTCTCACCGTTCGACTACAGCAACATCA